ATGTTTTTTTTTTCTTTTTTTTTTTTTCGGAAGCTTCTTTCGATGAAAGAAAAATTTTTGAATTATTGATACTCAAAATCACTCGACTCGTTGATCCCTACGGATAAACGTCACCGGGACGTCACTGACTTAAATCGTCCGATCTCGTCGCCCCGTGCCACTCGATTTGCCGTACCGAAAGAAAACATTTTTCCGGGGTATCAACGCGCACCAGTTTTGTTCTCGGTGTAACCGAGCGTTACGTTCAATATATTCGAGTTATTTGCCGCTTTATCTCCGCTTAATGCGTGATTCACTATTTTGCATGGCGGGAACAGTTGGTGGCTACATCAAAAACCCACCGGCACTTCAAAGTTCGTAGAATCGAGCGCGGCCTCGTTGAGAGGGGAGAGGGGAGGGGGCGGGGGGGGAGAGGGTAGAGCTTCGTTTGCGCGACGATGGGGAGGGCGGAAGAAGAAAGGAGAAGAAGGGTGAACGAAAAATAAATGATACCCGAATTAGCGTAATCGCGTGATGGTTTTGCGAGGGAGATACGCGGCGAGGGGGCAACGCGAGGGGGCGAATTGGGGAACGACAAATTGCGTTTCGATTTCATTTCGCGCGGAGATGACCGTCATCGCGGAGAACCAAGAAGTCGTGATTGTAAGAGAAAAAAAAAAGAACTAAATCGATAGGTGTGGTCGAAACTATTGTTTATTCGATCAACGAATGGGATTTTTTTTTTCCTTCCGAATAATGTTTTGTTATTCATTATGTACCCTTGTTGTATATTGTATATAATAATGTCGATATTTAATGTTAATCACAAATTGACATTATCATCGCGCCGAGGAAACTATATTATTTAGCGTGAAATATGTTTATGATAATATTCTCATTAACATATAGCTGCTATAAAATATTTATCTTGAAAAGTAAAGATTAATCAATAACGCGATTAATGTATTATGTTCAACAAACATGAATTATAGTGTTTGTAATAATAGTGCTCGGATTATAAAATTAGATCTCTCCGAACTTGTGTGTTATATGTGAATTAAAAATTATTTTTTAAACGATTGTTTATACAAATAACATTTTGTGGTTCAAGATAGATTTACGTATAAATCTTTTGCGATTTTTAAGAGGGTTTTGGAAAATAGGCTTGTCGGGAGGAACATTGTTAATATTTTTAGATCATAAATTGTATAGAATAAGATACAAAAAATAAAATCGGGAGGATGTTTTGCTTTTTTTTAACAACGTTGTTTATCCGTTTGCCAGGTTTCAAAAATTACTAACTTCGAGCCCTGCAAACTCATCATTTGTTCCCGACGATGGAGCACGTAAATAGAGTAGTTATTGACTGGGGCCAAACCTTCGTCTGTCCAAATACACGGAAATCGAAACGCGAGGCGATTGTAGCGGGTAACAGGCCGAGGTTTGCCGCTTTATTATGGCGGCACGAGTTAATCATGTAAAAGTGTGTAT